AATAACATTCAATTTTAAAATTCCACTTTACCCTAACAACAAGATGGGCATACAATCTGCCATTTCCTTCTTTGAATGTGAAAAGTGGTAGGTTATAGTGAGAATTTTACCTCCTCAGAAAAGCCACATGGGAGGGAGGAAAAGAAAGACAGTGTTTGATGCAAGCTTGAATGCATGCATGTGTTGGGGGGAGGTGGGGGGGGGGACCTGTAGGGGGGAAAAGAAGCAAAAGAATAAAAGGGGAGTCATGGATCCTTCTGATCAAAAAAATAAGATTCTACTGACTGTTAAGAGACTAGAAAACTTGGCTTTCAATACCATCAGCACCTAAAATTCTGTCTTGCAAACCAAGTGCATGGTTTAAAATAAAAAAATAACACTTGGATATTTCAGATGGAATTTTTTTTTTTTTGTTCCCCTGCATCTCAGAGCACTAACTTAGTACAGAAGATGCTTAAGAGTAAATTCTAGGCAGAAAGACTGTGTTTACTCGTAACAATCAAGATCTGATTTAGCCTGACAGAAAATGGGATGGGATTCCTTGGCATAGACTGCTATTGAGAAAGTGACTATATAGATACAAACAGATCTGGTCCATGCCTTTCTGTGCAAACATGGAACTGTAATTAGAGCATTAAGGAAATTACTGTTTTCCTCAATGAGTTAACAGCAATTCCTCTATACAAAATCATGCTTTCTATCAAGAGATAAAGCTTCAATTTTATGTCCATTCACCTAAATTAAAGAGTCTAGTCGAAGTTCGGTTTAATAAGCATTTCAATTCAAAAGTTTTCCATATATTTAAGTAAGGCAAGAACTGATAAAAAATAAAATATTGATTAGGAAAACCTAAATATAAGAATTGAGATTCTGGGGGCTGGGATTGGGGCTCAGAGGTAGAGCTCTCGCCTAGCACACATGAGGCACTGGGTTTGATCCTCAGCACCACATAAAAATAAAATAAAGATATGTGTCCACCTATAACTAAAAAGTAAATATTAAAAAAGAATTTAGATTCTGAATTAGAAAACTAATGATGAAATAGCATTATTTAGTAATAGGGTTGTTTTTTTTTTTAAAAAAAAAAAGCCACAGAAGAAGAAATTATAAGGAATAAAAGCTAGAGAAGAAAAAAGAAACTCTAATCTGAAAGGACTAAAATAAAAAAAAATTTCAAGAGAGCTGAATTGAGATCATGATCTAATTATAGAGATTTTAAACCTCAAATTTAAATATTTCTCAAAAATGGGAAAGTGTATAATGAAGGAAGGAAAAAAAATAAATAAATAAAAATAAACTAGAAAAGAAACTCAGATTGGTAGAAAGAGTAAGAGAAAACAGAAATATTTCCAAGTTCTTAACCTGTTAAAACAAAGTATAGAAACATATTAGTGCCAATCAATTACTGCCAATTTAATCAAACTTTCTTATTAAGGTTGTTAAATTAATTTACACATGAAGGCACTTAGAACAGATCTTGACACATGGTAAATACTTAATAAATAGAAACAGCCTTCCTTCTCCTTATTGCACCCTTTTCTTCCTTCTTTATCATCAATATTATTTATTGTTACTACTCTGGAACATTACCTGTAATACAGTCATCTGCATGTTACTCTGCCCACTGCAAAGCCAGACATCTCCAAATAAGATATCATGGACTTTCAAGGTAATATTTCTTGTCCCAAAAGTCTGTTGTGCCATCATTTCAAAAGGTCCACCAGGCTTCATAGGATCCAGTACCACCATCCAGGTATTAGAGGGTGCTGAAATAACAACAGGTCTCCCAGGAGTTAACCAGTCAATCACTTCAAATGAAATTAAAGCCCAGTTATACTCATTTATAGCTATTTCCAGACTCTGTGATAAACTGTATTCAAAGCTATAAAGATTGGCCATATTTCAGAAAAAATAGATAGAACTGACAAGAGCAGCAGCATTTTTATCTGTAATCTGTACCAATCCCTTCTTATTTTTAACTGAAATAAGTTGCCCAGTTATAATCCTAAATGAGGACAGACAAAAATACACACAGATTAAAATTCAAGGGAATTTAGTATAAAAAATAACATAAAACAGAAATTCTTGTTACACTATCCAACTGTCAATACTAACATAATCTAATCTTTTCTCTGTACCCCAAACTAACTTGTAATTATCCAATTCAAATGTGAGCACAGATTATAGAAAAAAATCACTTATAATCTGAAACTCTCCCTTATAGTACAATCACCCTTCTTATCAACCCCCACCTCCTCTCATGTTCCTAACAAGAATTAATACCACCAGTGGTGCTGGGTTCTCCTACAAACAGGTGTATGAAGAAACGGATTCATCAAAAATTAGTGGGATGAAAATAGGAAACCAGTAGTGTAGTGGAAGGGAAACTGACATGATGGGAGGAGGGAAGGACATGAAATGAAATCTATCAAACTATGCTATGTCCAGGTATGAATTTACTGCAATGAATTATATATGTGTGTAATATAATATATGTATATATTATATATGCATATGTAATACATAGTAAATATATAATAAATACATACATATAAACAATTGATATATAAAATTATAATGCATTAAAACAACAATGATAATAATATAAGGGAGATCAGTAGAATAAAGCAAGCAGATCAAGGGACAGAAAGGGAAGACACTGAAATGAGATTGATCAAGTCATGTTGCATGCAAGTATGAATGACATGATGAAGCCAATATTATGTATAATACAGTGCACCAATAAGAAAGAAAGCAGAAGACCTACAAATTAATCTCTCTGTAAAAAAAATTTGATTTGTCTAATTAAATATTTTCAGAGTCATCTACAAAATTTAAGATTTTGTTTGAACTCAATTAAGGAGCTGAGAAGCTATCCAAAACCCTATTTCAGACATTCATAGCTTTTTCCTTAGAAACACCCCCACCACCACCACCATCTTCCTAACTTCTCAAACACACTACAGGGGTCAACCACTGCCAACATCATACTCAGGGATTTAGGAAAATACCTTCAAAATAACAAAATTATTCCTAAAAGAATGAAACAATAAGCAAAGTTGAAGAAATAAGAGTAGAAAAATAGAGAAATGAACAACTTCAAATAAATTTTTTTTCAAAGAATATGAACTAATTTATAATACCCATCCGATCAATGTTAATGTGAAGGAAAAGAATGGTAAAAACTGGAAAAAGCATTCTGAAGTTATTATACCCAATCCATGAGAAATAATAATTATAAAAATACCATCCAAGTGCCTACTATGTGCCACATACTGTGCGGTTCTTTCTAATCAGCAAGAACTAAGCAGAAAATGAGAATCCCACATACATATATAAGGAGATAAGTAAAAGCCTAAACCGTAAAGGATTATTTTCCTGGAGGAAATGTCCAAAAAACCCCAAGGTATCAGTGAAAGGGTGCATGTTTGCTCCTCTGGAAAGCATAATTCACTAAGCTTGCAACTCCCATCTCTAGGAGGTCAATTAAGCCCAGGACCAAATGTTCACAATTGTTTTTCTCTCACCAATAGCCAGACACCAACATATTAAATGTATAATTCACCTAAACCAGAAAAATCACTGTTTTGGAAACAGTGGGCAGCTAGTACAGATTGTGTCGCACAGGTGTGATATGCTCCGTATGGCTTACACTTCTGAGCAGGCAGACGCTCCAATCTGTCCTAATAATCTTGCCAAGGTCTTTCCAGGCTTCCTGTACTGACATATCTCACTAAAGCTCTGTCCTTTTGCCACCAATAATTACTCATATAAGGTGATGTGGCCAACCCCCAGAAAACCCAGGATAGGACTATTTCTTAGCCTTCCACTACTATACAACATATTCCTAGTCACTGCTATTAATTAGAGATTTATCCTTAACCTCAATCCAGGCCACATGGCAGGTGAAGAAAACTACCCTTACCACAACTTCTGAAAACTTTTACTGCCCAAGAATAAAAAGACTGTAAGGGAGTGGGAGTATGAACAATTTGAGTAAAACATGGCAACATCAACCTAATATAGCTGGAGGGTAGGCTTCCTGTTGGGCTAGAGCCTGAGGGGAAACTGGCATTAAGACTTGAGCCCAGAGAAATCTGCTTTTGACTTCTTCAAAGACCCCAAGGAATTTCCTTCTGTTCAAAAGCCACCATGTTTCACAAGGACAGCTGCCTGGTCCTTGGATTGTCAGTTCAGTTCCAGTTTGGCTAAAGAGGAACTTACCGTAGACCAGTAAAGTCCAGAAGCTACATTCACCATCAAGTCCACCAGGTTGAGTACAAAAAATAAAACTGATCCACTGACCACAAAGAGCTCACCATTACCACATGCCAAGTTCACCATCCAGCTGGTTTTCTGCTGATCCTGATAGGCTTTCTGAGCTTTAGTTCCTCCTTCAGGATCCTAAAACTACCCTTACCACAACTTCTGAAAACTTGCTATCTTGTTTTTCTCTCACCAATAGCCAGACACCAACATATTAAATGTATAATTCACCTAAACCAGAAAAATCACTGGTTTAGGTGAATTTACCAATCCTGGCCCAGATATTTATAAATTCTCATTTTTGTTGCACTTAAATCTCTGTTTTCCTTTGCATTTTTTCTTCTACCATATAGGAAGACTAATTTCCTTCCTTCATTATATAGCTACTTAAGAGTACTTACCATGAGCCTGGCACTCCATCAAGTAAATGTCAGAAAATAAACCCCAGTCCCAGGTTACACTGATGAGAAAGCCAAGCAATTTAACTAGGGCTTTATGCTTCATGCATAACAGCATATTTGGTGGCCTATTTCTTATAGTTGCTCTTCATATTCTAGCCAAGGACATAACTAAAGAACTATGTAATCTGCACTTTCTCTCCATCTCCCCAATTAATTGCAACTTCAAAATGAGAAGAGCAAACAATCAAAGGGAAAAAAATGAAAATAATTTGCCCAGAGACATGATTAGTCATAAAGTGCTTTCTTGCTTTTTCTTTTTGCTATTCACATCAGATGTTGTTTTGAAGGTTATTGTGCCAAAATCTCAGAAGCCAAGAAAGAGAAAAGGAAAAATTATCCATGACCTTTGCCTTCCCAAGAGGGAAAAACCTAGAGCTGAAAGAAGCAGCCTGATTCACTGCTCCTCATGGAACCCTGGATCTTCACCAACGGAAAAGCGGTTCAGTGGTTTTTGGAAGTGGCTTGAAGGTGAAAGTGGTTTACTCCTAAACCATCCCTTATTTACCTACATTTACTCTACAACCTGAATTTCAAATCCAATACAACCAAATATGAATACAAAATAAGCCAAATTTAAATACTTTTCTTTCAATAAAACTGCTCATGCAAGTTACTTAGACTACACATGCTGTGGCAGACACCCCTTAGGGTGACCTCCCTTCAAGAGAAAAGAGAGTCTACGATTTACTTTCAGTCAACAGAAAACAGCAAAGATGAGATGTCACTATTGTGATTATGTTATATAGAAAAGATGAAGGGATTTTGCAGATGTGATTAAAGTCCCTAATCAGTTGACTTTCAATGAATAAAAGGGGAAATTATCCTGGGTAGGCCTGATTTACCAAGGCCATTACTAAAGGGTTCAGAGGTCAGAGATTTGAAGCAGCAAGGATGCTGCCATGGAGTCTGCCCCTCAAGAAATTAATTCTGCCAAAAACCTAGAGGAGCTTGGACCTGGATCACTCAATAGTCACACCTCCATTTGAGAACACAGCCTGGTCTTGACTTCAGCCTAGTGAAACCTGAGCTAAAAACATAGTTAGACCATGGCCAGACCACAGAAATACAGAGATTGTGAGATAGTGAAGGTGTATTATTTTAAGCACCTAAGTTTGTGGTAATTTATTATGCAATATTAAAAAATTAGTATGCATGTCACCACTGCAAGCAGGAGTGGGGAAGGGTGTTGGCTTTTCTTGTGTTTTTCTAAGACAAAATTAATCTGTTTTCCTCAATCATGATGACAAATACAGAAACACCCTCATTTTATCACCTGCATACACAAATACACACACACACACACACACACTTCTATGTTTGTTAAAGTGAGATGATATACCTATTCTCCCTGGCTTTATTCCTTATGTCTGCATTACTTGACAACATGGTTTGAACAGACCCAGTAAGTGACCATATTTGGATCATCCTTTAGGTTTTATTTTCCCAATGCTTAAGTGTCAGTCTGCTGGACAAAAACCTACATGTTATTAAAACTCTACTTTGTTCTGGGTCCCTAGGGAATTGCAGGTAATAAGTACAGGTAAAATTTAAGAGGCAAACCAAGTGGGAAATTGAAGTAGTCTGACAGAAAATCCCAGAGTCCTCATCAAAATTTTAAATAAAAGCCAGGCACAGTGACGCATGCCTGTAATCCCAATGGCTCAAGAGGCTGACGCAGGAGGATTGTGAGTTCAGTGTCAGCCTCAGCAAAAGCAAGGTGCACTAAGCAACTCAGTGAGACCCTGTCTCTAAATTAAATACAAAAAATAGGGTTGGGGATGTGGCTCAGTGGTTGAGTGCCCCTGAGTTCAATCCACAGTTTAAAAAAAAATAGTTTTTTTAAATAGAATCTAGCTGTTTAATATCCCCTGTAGTGTCTCTTTTGAGCAGTTTTTTTGTCTGCACTATAAATCTTCTTACATGTCTGCCTTCCTTATTCCAAATAACACTTTATGCATCTTGCTTCATGGGCAGAAAAGAGCAAGATGCCCATTGAAGTAGGTTTTCTGACATCTATAAATCAAAATACCTTTATTCTCTACAAGTAAATGTGGGAATGCTGATAAATTGATCTGCCACTATACCACCAATATTACCAACTCCTTTTCCTGTGAAATTATCATCAAGAGTCCATGAATCACTAGATTTCCTTAAGTACTGCTGGTTATTTTAACTCAAAAAAAAAAAAAAAAAACAATCACTTTACAGTGAAGCAACTGGAGCAGTATTTGAGCCTAAACCACTAAAATATGAAAGGATAACATGAGAGAATGAGCTTCTGAGGGATGGGCACTGTTTGCATCCTTCTTTGTATTTTCCTGTGGTTTCTATGACAGTGTTTTATATGCACTACGCCCTTGATAGATGATTATAGAATTGAAATTAAGATAAAATAGCAGGTTTGCAATCACTGTAAAGAGAAAAGGAAGTTTATCTCTGAATGATTACATTTGATGCCTTCCCATCACCACCTACCCGCCAGCTTTATCTGTGCCCACCTCAGATATTAGTCCTGAATCAGGCATGAAGGGGGTAAAACCTCCAAAAATAACACAGAAGAACAATCTTTAAAACTGAAATGCTATATAATATAATGTGCTCTGTGTATCTGTCTCTGCAGTATTATGTAGTCTCTGTCTCCTATTTACTGGTAACATTATTAGCATCAAGGAAACCCTATTTCTTATTTTTAAACCAAAATCAATGTCATTTACTGAGAGGGCCACTATTTGCACACAATGCTGCTCATTTCTAAGAGGAACACAGCACAAACAGAAAGTACTAGTCCTGGAATTCTTCATTTTCAGCATCTCCTGTGTTACCAGTAGCGTTTAGCTCAAGAGACAACCATGTCTCAATCAGCTGAAGTTTCCCTTTCAAGTCTCTTAGTTTCACCCAACAACAGTTTTACCTTAAAACATCTTAAAAATCTGCTAGAAGTTCTTACCTTGCTTCTATGCCTGGTATGCATTTTCAAATGCTGAATGAAAATTTTCTGGAATATGAAGACAACAGCACTGGGTCTGGAATACTCTAGATTAGATCATCAGTTCTGATAACTGACAAAACTAACAAGGCCATCCTTGTTTATAGGGGCCAGGAAAGTTTCCACCAGGTTCCCTGTCACATGTCTATTTTAATTGCTCAAATCACCAATTCATATGTTAACTCCAACACCCCCTTCCCCAGTAGTCTCTTACCTACCTCACTGTCACTTCCACATTCTCAAGCTCATAAGACCCAGCCCTAAGCATACCATCCTGCATCCAGCAACTTCTAGCTTTGCCTCATCCACACTGTCTTTTATATCTCGCATCTCTTCTAGCTTTGCCTCATCCACACTGTCTTTTATATCTCGCATCTCTTCTTTATAATATCTCCCTGCTCATGAAAGCTGCTAATTCTCATCTTTTTGACCATCAATCCTCATAGCTACTCTTTTGGGTCAAGCCCTCATTTTGTATTGGCTGAATAACATAATAACATGCTAACAAGTCCCACCAATGCTTGAATTGAAACAACTGGAGCATTATTTGATAGCCAATCCACCTTCCACAGTATTGCCAAAGGGATCTTTCTAAAATATCAATTTGATCAGGTTATTTTGCGCTTAAAATCGATTGATCCAAAGTAGAGAATCTACTAATTAGCAAAGACAAACAAGCCTCCCTACCTCCCCACCTCACCTTCCCAATCTCAGCTCCTCTTATCCTCCACCTCTCACTTACCCACCTGCCTGGCACTTCTTCAGTGACTCACCTCCACTCATACATCCATGCCTTTGCCCCAGCTGCTCCCTCTCTCTGGTCTGCCCTACTCATCTTTCAAGACCAGCCTCATAACAAGTTCTTTATCCCTACTTCCCTAAGCATTTCCATACATTATGTCCTTCCTCATTGTGGCACTTATCACACATTATTTTCCTGTCTCCTCCCCTAAATACATTACAGAGGCTTCATTAAGGGAGAAGGCATATCTTTTTTGCTCATCACTATATCACCAGTACTCAGCACAGTATCTGGTACATAGTATGTGTGTTAATTCATTTCATCCTTAAAATAATCCAATAAGTATTATGACTATCTCCATTTCACATAGAAACTATGACATAGATTTTTAATAGCATATCTGAGGACTATAAAGTCATTAAATGACAAGAGTCAGACCCAATCCCAGACAGGAATTCCAGAGCCAAGCTTCTTAACCACACCTCTATAGTGCCAGAGTTAAATGTTTCTCTTCTATATTCCATGACAGCCCTATATACATCTTCATCAAAACATTCATCACAGCACTATATGACTTGCTATCAATTTGTATTGTTCCACGAGCTCTGTGATATCAAGGACTTTGAGCCTTATTTTTCTCTGTATTCTCGGTTTCTGCCACATAGTAAGTACTCAAATAACACTGATGAAAGGATGGATGGATGGATGGATGGATGGATGGATGACCTGGGCTGGAGCATAAGCATTCATTATCAGATAATCCAGCAGGTGGCAGAAGAAGACAAAAGCTAAACAGAGGATGGGCTGCCTTACCTTTCACATGGGTCACTTTCTTCATATTGATTTCTTGACCTTGGTACAAGGTCACTGTCACTATGGCTCCAGGTATACCAAAGCCCCAGATCACTGCTCCTGCAGGCTCCTTCTGCAGCACCATGTAATTATCGATGTACGAAGCAAAGCGAAAACCAACACCTAAAAAATTCAGCAAACTGGTACATTATTAGGGAGTTTCAGCGCCAACTGGATCAAAAGAAATAGAAAGAAAAATACAGTCTATACCAAAGAATTCAAGTACATTCAAACCTTTTAGTCTTTTAAAACTAGATCTTATTCCTCCTAATTAAGTAAGTAATATAACAAGACAGTTCCGAACAATACATTTCATAGTACAATATGACCTCTAAGGAAACCAGTGCCTCTTTTCCTTCTCTCCCCTTCAGAGTTCTTGATCTTCCTTTGCTCTCAGACTAGGCCCTAATACTTCTCCCCACAAATTACTAAAATGTTCCTTTCATGCACCCCACAAATGGTGTTTATAAGAAAACTAAACCACTTCCTTCCCTGACTTTCCATTACTACACCTATCCACAGTAGCTGGGAATAAAGAAGCCATCCTGTCTCCATCACAGCTTCTCTAATATCCTCCACCCTTTATCTCTAACCAATGTTAATTTCCTTCAAATAAATCCCCCTTATTATGGTTTTTTGACCACCCCCAGTACTGCATTTATGAATATTTTTGAAAAGTCTGCTTCTTTCTCAGGTAAATTCAGATAAATCAAGACACAAAAATAAGGTCAGTAAGAGACAAAAAGTCAAAGTGTCTAAAGAAAGGTCTTTTGTTACAATTTTGCCTATTTCACAACCTTAATTCTGCAAAAAGAAAAGAGAAAGCACAATTGAAACTGGATTCTATTCTACAGTCGCTAACAAGACTGAATAAGAATTCACTTTAACAAGATCACTCCTATTTTTAACTTCCAGCCTATATCGAAGTATTTTTTTAATAAAATCCAAATGATCTCATTGAGTTCCTCATCAAAATTTTAGCATGGAAAATAATAAAACTATGCCCCAACTTGTCTGAACAAAACAGACCAAAAAAAGTCCCTAAAATAATTTACAAAATTAAGTTTAAGGGTTTTAAACAAAAATAATAGGCAGAGAAAGAATCAGAATTAACAAAGCTGACATTTTCCTCCCTGGAAGCTATAAATGATGACAGGCCCTTAGGCTACACTTAACAGCAGTACAGCTAATGGGGTCTCCTACACAAACTTGGTGGCCTATACTGCTCTTGGAAGCCCAGTCCCTAAAAGTCCTTAGCTAGTGCTCATGCACCTCACCCTTACCCTCATGAGCTAGTTTGATCATAATACCTACAGTGACAATCAGAGATCACCCAGAAGGCCTAACAGGCTGCAAATAACAGCAGCCATGAACAAAACACTCTGAGACCACAACACCCCAGAATTGCATAAGCAGGTTGGCAGCCTGCTGAGGGAAGGGGGAGGCACAAGTGTGGGAGGGCCCTGTCTTGAGTAGGTACTTCACATGGAACAAAAACCAAAAATCAAAAGCATAAATAAGAGCTAAGTAGAGAGAGGGTAGGAGTGGAGGAATGGAGTGAAGAAAACTGGCTGCTATTTGCATATCTGAATGTGCAGCCAATAGCCCATAGACTGGGGAAGTACCTTTTCAAGGCAGTCTGTGTTGGCCAATACACACTTACTGAATATCTTTGTTCATGGCTATATTATGCTGAGCTAAAGAATTTTAGAGGTAGAAAGCCTCTTAGAATCATGTTTTTTACTGATCAAAAGGTACTGACCAAGAGACTAAGGCCTAAATAAATTAAGCAATTTTTAAAATAACTTTTGCATATTTGTTAATTCAACATTACTTATTGATTGATGCTTACCATGTGCCAGGCACCATTTTAAGTATCAGGGATAGAACAGTGAAGAAAACAATAGATAAAAATCCTTATCAGCAAGCAGCTGACATTCTAGTAGGGAGCTTACAGTGGCAAGCACAATGCTAAAGACACTAAATATTAAACTTTGACAATGGACTTAAATCACAAGGTAGTTTATGAGAGGACTACTAGAAACTGAGTTACCCGAGTCCAGAGTTATTATTACTCTGCCACAGTCAGGTAATGATGGTTCATCATGGAAAAACCAAATTCCCTGTGCTTATAAGGTTTAAATTCCAACCTGATTAGACAGTGGAACATGAAGACCAAGGAATTGAGCAGTGGACTAAGGAAGATTGAGAGAACAAGACTGGCAATTGCTTTTGAGTCAAACACAATACACATTTAACATTTGATTTTTTTCTTTAATTTCTCCCTTATTTGGGAGCAGAATTGAAAAAAAAAAAAAAAAAGGAATGAGTGCTTCAGAGAACAGACAGACCATCATTACAAGTAGACCAGCAAAATTAGGATAGTGATTACCTCTCATGGGGGACCTGGCAGATGCACTGTGGAGGAAAACACTGGCTCAATAAAACTCAGTATTTTAGTTCTCAAATTGGGTGGTGAGTTCATGGGTCATTTCATTGTTACACCTCAAATATCACATGATAAATACTGGCAAAGGGGGTTGAGTGATTTAAAGGAAAGACCTCAGGATATGAAACCAAGTAAGAAAGATGGGAAATTTAGAACATGAATGAATGAATGAAAAATATAGTCCTTATTAGTGAAGGTTATGTAATGATATGACCCAAAGGAGATTGATACTGATATTAAAGATAACCCTTAACAAAAAAATTAATAAAATAATGGCTCTATTCTCTTTACCTTCTGCTCAACTTGTATGATGGTACCCAATGGTCACTGAGTGGTGATGAGTCAGGGAATGACAAGCAAAGTGCTACTAATTGAACTCTAAAAACTATTCACTATGCTGCCTATGTGAATCTGGGTATTTTGTAGGTGCTTCAGTAGAGCAGCAGTCATATCATTCTCCCATCTCAACTTACATTTAACAGAGATCTTTGGGACTCGGGTCTTTGAGTGGTTTGAAGAAGGAAAAATAATTCAGCACTATCACTTTATTTTGTATTAGCAGACAGAGCCCCCTTTTCTGGTATCTCCATGCTGTGACCCAGGGTTCAGCCCAAGGTATTCAAACAGCAGGCTCTGACCTGCACAGTGGCCAATTTGAGTTACTCCCCTTCCCAACGCATATCATCCCACCATCCATATTTCTAAGCTGCACCAGAAATCAAAGCTGAGCCTTAAATTATTCTGAGCTAGTGAGGGGGTTGTATTTCTTAGCCCTAATAACCACTTAAACGAGTAAAATTTAATTCCCCCAAGGAACCCAGGCTGATGCACAGCCTCCCCAAAGGCACCACTGAGGGGGAAGCTGCTGAAATGTTTTGGATGACTCAGTCACCTGTTTCCCAATAGTTTTTAACTAGCTTCGCCCCCTTTCCTCCTAGCTCCCCTGAGGGCCTCCGTCTGGGCACATTTGAGCTTCCTCACTCTGATAAACCTAACTCTTTCCCCTCCTCCACACAAGTTAAGGACAGCGGGTAGGAGAGGAGAAAGCGAAAGAGCTCGGTCTCCGGCGCAGCAAACATCTGCAAGCCAGCCAGGGTCGCAGAAAACCGCCCCAGGCCATGGGCTGGGTCCCAGACCTAGAGGGCCGGCGCGGATCGGGATCCCGAAGAGGATCGGGACCTCGGAGCCTGAGGCCCCTGAGGGGTCCGAACGAGCCGGGCCGCCTCACCTGCACTTCTGTCGGCCAAAAGGATTAATGGCAGAACCAGCCGGAGTGCAGACCCTGGGGCCACCATGCTTGCGACGGTCTGTCGGCAACCCGCTGGACTTGGGAAGTGCACCACAGCGGGGGGCGGGGCGGGGCTTGTGAGGCCGACTCCACCCTCCCCGGGACCTTCAGTCCGCGAAACCAACGCGGCCTCGGAGGGAGGAGCTCCTCTCTCCCTCCGGGCCGCCGTAGTTTAGGGGTGGGGGGGGGGAAGGGAAACGGTTACCCAGCAACGAGAAAAAACAACCGGAACCACCCGCACCAGCTCGGAGAGAAAGCAGAGGTGAGGCGGTTTCCCCCACTCGCTCTCCAACACAAAGACCTCGGCTTTTACCTCTCGTATTCTCTCAGCATCCCCTACACACTCTGGGGACCCGGGAGCAGATTGGGAGCCAAGGCAGCCCATCCTTCGAGAGTTTGAAATCCCAGGTCCTCGACGGAATCACACCATCCGCCCTCCCTCCCCAGCCTGGTTCAGGGTCTCACCTGTCCTTTCACAACGCCTGGAGGAAGGTCTCATCTCCTGTTTCCTCTACAAAGGGTGGGCGCGGGGAGGACTTGGGCGTCGTTAAAACCTCTTTTCTCCCAACCTGGACCCCTATTCAGCGCTGACTTACAAAACAGGCCAGGTCCCTGGGTATTCTTTGCATACTCAGTAGTCCAGCCCATTGCTTAGCAGCTACCTTAATCTAGCCTTGTATTCTAAGACAGAAAGAGAAGGCCTGATCGAAACAAAACCAGACAATAAAAGAATCCCAAAACTTCGCAACCTGGGATTTCAAAACCATGACCTTCTTTTTTCCTCTCTTCAGCGCAATTCAAGAGTGCAAAGGTGTTTCAAGACATATAGGCTTCAGAAGTGGCAGCTAAGAAAAAAAAAAAAGTGTGAAATTTAATTTAACAACTTGGAGTAATTTTTTTTTTAGACCTTAAACAGTGTCTTAGCGATCAATAATGAATTCAGTTAAACTACCTTTCTTAATAATCGTTCTGTCTAAATACTGTGGAATAGCAAAAATTACCCACATCTTTTAATACAGGAAGACAGAGGCAGAAAAAAAGTACTTAGTGGCATAGTAAATACTGTGGGGTTTATAATTTTTAAAAAATGATTTAGTCAATTGAATGAGTCTATATTTGTAATATTCTAATTCAAAATGAAGAATTTGAAATTCTCTGCGGGGGTGGAAATATATGGATTTGGGGTATCTTTAGAGAAACAAAAGTTGAAGTCCAGGAAATTTGGGTCTCAGAAATATTTTGTTGTCATAATTGTGATTATGTAATTAATAATTAACATCAGAAAAATTTAAAGATAAGTGCTCTTTAATGAATCTCTAGGTACTCTAGGCAATTCTTCCCAAGGAGATGTCGATTCCATTCTCCAACACCCATTATCGAATTCCACAAGGATTTGGGAATCTTCTTGAAGGCCTGACACGTGAGATTCTGAGGGAACAACCAGAAAACATACCAGCTTTTGCAGCAGCATATTTTGAGAACCTTCTAGAGAAAAGAGAGAGTAAGCTTTTTTAAAATGGACATTTTTAAAATAAAAGACTTAAGCGTTTGGTTATGGTAAAACTTATTTAAGACCATCTTCATTCTACAACAAGCCTTTAAGCAGGTGACTTCACATAACAGTTCTTGCTATTGGAAACAATATATGCCTCTTTGACAGCTTCTCTTGATTCTCTTATTCAAGATTTCCTGTTTATTCTCCAGACTTTCTTCACTGTGTTTCTCATGGACACACAGTGTGGAAGGGGACCTCTAAAGATCAGACAAGTGTTCCTCTCCACTATCTAAGAGACTGCCCTTGTGCATCCCCAATAGTTGACTTTCTATTCTTCCTGAGAGGGTAATTTGCAATTTTCTTTAATTTTTGATTCTTCTCATTTGAAAGTATTATAAGTATTACAAAAATAATTCAACATGTCTTAGATTAAATAAAACGGTCTTCACTGGGGTATGAAACTGTTCTTCAATAAAGGCACAGAAACAAACTATTTTGAAAAGTGAACTGCCAACATGGGAAGGTAATTTATATTCTTTATACTCTAAAACTCTCATCCTGCACAGAGACAAAGATCTAAAGGTAACTCTTTGATTGAGAACCGAAGCAAAGCTCCTTCACTACCATGAATAAAACTTCCAAATCCCCAGTCTTAAAGGTTTGTGACTATCATGACCTGACCCAGAATCAAAATTGGGAATTAGTAGTTATATAAGTTTATGCTAAAAACCTATTCTTGACTATAAAATTCATTTTGTATAAACTGTTGTTATTGTTACTTTCAATGATAGTATTCCAACAGAATGGTAAAGGTGACTAGAATTTGCCACAAGCAGACAGACATTCCATTGCAAATCATTTTACAGAGGGAAGAATCTTAGCCCAAGGCTCGAATTCAAACAACTCACATGCATGGCACAGCTCCACCCCTTGTCCTCTTTATTCTGCCCTTGTAAAGCTCAGAATCTCTGCCAATTTCCAGGCCATTGCTAGTCTTTCCCATGTCCAGTCAAGATGAATATTTGTTGCACAATCTTTTTTTAATATTTATTTTTTTTCAGTTTTCAGAGGACACAACATCTTTATTTTATGTGGTGCTGAAGATCGAACTCAGCACCCCGTGCATGCCAGCCGAGCGCGTTACCACTTGAGCCACATCCCCAGCCCTGTTGCACAATCTTACTTATACTTTTAAGTTGCACTAAAAATATTTGACAAACTATATTTAGGGAGAAAAGGTTAGTAAGAAAAATGCTTTGGGGAAAGAGGTAAATTATTATGAACACTAATTTTGTTATCATAACATTAATTTTTACAAATTCACGCAGTAAAATGCCTTTAGTCATTTGTTTAATTTTAAAACTCAGAAACATAACATTACAGAAACGTTTGAGTCATCATTACCAGATCCCAGTAATAAAAGCAATTTCATTATTCAGATTAATGGCCTGGGAATACTAGCTCAGTAATAAACAACCGGTAAAACCATTTGAAAAAATTTTAAGCACCACACCCACTTCCATCCATGTTAACCAAAGGTGAATTATCCAACTGATATAAGTATCAGAATTTAGTATCTCGAAAAAGGCAAAAGAAATCATGGAATTTCTTCTCAGTATCCCATACAATGCAAGAATTCCCTTACTATCATTCATCACAGGTGATTTTTAGTTTTAATGTTTGTTTTTGTGACAAAAAACATCAGTACATAATATAAGTGGTATCTCAAATCACTAGGGAAACAGTGGGCTTCTTATGAATTGATAATGAATTAAAGAAGTTAAGAATAAAAGTAGACCGATTCAGAATAAATTCTAAATTGGTTGGAAATTTAAATATTAAAAAAAGAAACCAGGGTCTGGGTCTGTGGCTCACTGGTAGAGCGCTCACCTCGCACATGTCAGACCCTGGGTTCGATCCTCAGCACCACATAAAAATAAATAAGTGAAATAAAGGTATTAAAATATTTTTTTAAAAAGAAACCATACAAATACTAAGAAAAAATATGAATGAGTTTCTTAATAACATAAAAAATTGCTAACTAAGTTGCTTTAATGGCTTCAAATTCCAGATACAATTATGAACAGATTGATAAAATTGATGTCATAAAAGTAAACTTTTACATGACAAAAAGTACCAAAAAGAAAATAAAACTATAAGTGACAGGAAAAAAAAATACTTGTAATTATTATCCTAGTGGGTTAATAAACCTAATAAAGAGCTTGTAAAAACAGTGTCTTATGACCCACTTCTAATGACAACCATATTGAAAAAAGAAACAGATACGAATAATTCAAACAAAAATAAATGCAAATAGCCCTTAACTTGAAAATCTACTCAAATGCCGCAAGTAGGGGTTGGGATTGTAGCTCAGCGGTAGATTGCTCACCTAGCATGTGCAAAGCCCTGGGTTCAATCCTCAGCACCACATGAAAATAAATAAATAAAATAAAGGCATTGTGTCCAACTACACCTAAAAAATATGCAAGTAACAGAAGTCCAAATCAAAACTACACTGTTACCAACAACCACCCCTCCATCAAACTTGGAAGATGCTGTTTGCCAGTACACTCTAGGCAAGGCTAGGGGAACATGTACTCACACACATTACTAGTGGAGAAGCAAAATGGTACAACACGAAGGACAGAAACTCAGTAGTACCTACCAACGTTATATATGTATTTAATCGTTGGCCCAGAAGTTCTACCTCTACATTTATGGAAACAAATATACAGTGGAGATTTTTTTTTCTTTAGGTACTGGGAATCAATCTCCAGGATCTCATGCACACTAGACAAATTTTGTACCACTGAACTGCACACTCAACCCCTATAATAGTAAGAGTATGTCTACTCAATGTAATAATATATAACTTTAAAAAGAATAAGGAAGATCTCTAGATATTGAATGATCTTTAGGAATCAGTGGGAAAAAACAAGATGAGAGAAGGTGTGCTTAGTATCCAACAAAAGATTGATACGAATATATAACTTTATTTTAATGTAAGACTAAATCTTTTAAAATTAACATTTTCCTCTAGCAAAAGGAAACAAGATAAAATATAGTTTAAGTCTGGGTTTATTAATATTTAGCATAGTAATAAGATTAAATTTTAAAATTAAGCAATTCCTAACATTTAAAAATGAAGTTAAACAAATGAACTAATAGTAAGTAGGTGACACAAACACAAGGAAGAGAATTATTTCAAGTAAGTACATCACACAGTAATTTTACTGTACAAACCTGGTAGGTATAGCCTAAAATTAAAATAAACAAAACATAAAAACCTTAAAATGTTTTCAGTAATCATTGCTAATAATATTGTAGTAGAATGTTATAATTGAATCAGAATGTCCCCCACAGGTTCATGTGTTAAAGGCTGTCCCCCAGTTTGTGGCACTGTTAAGAGGTGGTGGAACCTTTAGGAGATAGGGCTTAGAGGGAGACTTTAGATCACTGGGAGCGTGGCCTTAAAGGGAATTGTGGGCACTCTGTCTCTCTTACTTGGTCAAGAGGTAAACAAGCTTCCTCCATACTCCTGCTGTGATAATGGCCATAGGCCCAAACACCGGAGCCAATCATTCATGGACTGAAACCTCCAAAATCATGAGCCAAAATAAACCTTTTCCTCTTTTTAAGTTTATTTATCTTGGATATTTGTTACAGTAATGGAAAAGTGACTAAGAGAGGGTTATTCTGAACACTATTTATTTATATAGTATAGAATAAAGCAGGTAAGCAACTATGCTAGTGCTATGAGGAATCAGTATTATTGTAGGAAAATTGACATAAAATTATAAAAATGAAAGAAGTTTATAAAATTTTGTAGTTCTAAATTTTATTTTACTTATTTTATATATTTGTTGGTACTAGGGATTGAACCCTGGAGTGTGTTGCTACTTAGCTACATCCCCAGTCCTTTATTTTTTATTTTTTATATTGAAAAAGTTCAGTACCAGTGGGCACCCAGCCCCTAGATTTTCATCTCTGAATATCGTTTCCAATGACCCCTGGCTTCTTGGGAAACTAGCTAATTCTATGCACTGGTCACAGATACAGAAGATGAGGCTGACCATCTTGTCATACCAAGAAACAAAAACACTCTCAAGGATTACTAAAGTAGTTTGCAAAGGACTTAGGAGAATCTGAGCACCTGAATTAAGCTCCCTCTGGCCAAATTTTGAACAATTACAACATCAGTACTGGAATTCATCCAGTTGGTTAAATATTCATGACTTCATAATTAAAACAAAACCACCATTCATTGGACATCTTGAGAGGATCTTAGGAAACCAACTGATTATTTTGAAAACTGGCAGAGGAGAAGAAAAATTTTCTTTTCTGTAAGAGCTGTATTTCAGGGTAACCAAATAGTTGAAGAGGACAACCACTTTTTTTGTTGTTGTTGTTGAGTTTCTTCAAAAAATAAAGAGGTGATGATCAAATTAGAGCATTACCATTTTTCAACCCCTAAAGAAATGATCTTAAGTGATTTATCAACACGGGACCCACAAATATTATAAAAAAAGAGAGAAGTAGATATTATTTATCTCCTGATTGCACAACTCTACTGATCAAGTATTCTTACCCCAAAAAGTCAAACCTCAATCAGATACAATCTATAGGTCTGCAGGACATTCAAAAGCAAAGAAAATTGTTAAAAGCCACCATGGAGATAGAGTCATAAATATCCAAACTGTGGAAAATTCCAGAGGAAAAATGACCCAATTCCATCAACAAATAAATTGCTGCAAGGAAAATAATGGGTGGGTGGGGTTCCATTAAAGCAATTTAAAAGATATAACAACAAAAGGCTGTACATGCCCATTTTGGCGGGAGGGGGGCTGTTAATTTGATCAACAACAAAATATACTAGACAATGAGGGAAATTTGGATAGTTGACTGGATAGTTGATTATATTAAGAAATTACTGTCCCTATTTAGGTATGATAATGTTATGGTTATATTTTAAAGATAAAGATCCTTTATCTTTTAGAGATAACATATTCAAATGTTTGTAAATAAAATAATAAGGTACTTAGAGTTGGCTTGAAAATAATCAGAAGATTATAGGTTAAATAAATCATGAGTTGATAATTATTGGATCTAGGTCATACACATATGGGACTTTGTTATATTATTCTCTCTACTTTCTAAGTTTGAAATTTTTCATAGTGAAATGTTAAAGGAAATTTCTGCTTAAATACCTCATCCTATCACATCAACTATCTCTATAATATGCCTTATATTTAAAAAAAAAAAAAAACTCCCATACTTCACTTTTCCAAACTTCTTGACTACTTAGCATTTATTTTTAAATACTTTTCTGTATTTACTAATACATATTTATATGTGCCTCTATTCATATTTAAATATTGACATTTGTTCTCTCATTCCCGTTTTGTTATAAATTCTGTGAAAGCAGAAGGAATGTTTTTTAGTGCTAATGTAAATATCCCCAAGGGCTCATCTAATGTTTAATTGATCATCTTATATTTAAATGATCACTGGTTGTGTCTATAGCTAGACCATATGAATTGTCAATAAGATTTTTGACTGTCAATAAAGAAACTGTGACTTGGAACAAGAAATTTTTGTGTGCTGGTACTCAGGATTTACTTTAATGAACTCAAAATAAGTGAAATTATTCTTTTTTATTATTTAGAAACCAACTTTGATCCAGCAGAATGGGGGGCTAAGGTAGAGGACCGCTTCTATAACAACCATGCATTCAAGGTATAGTTCTATGAAACCATTGAATTTGGCTATTTCTTCTATCTAGAAAACAAATATTATTAGTTTCTCCCCAGAATTGTGAGAATTAACATGAAAACTTTTAAATTACACTGTTTTTTCTAATAAAATTCTTTTCTGAAGTATTTGAATCAAGTATAGATTTTTAGATTAAATTTAAAGATGATCAATAGACAGAAGGTGCTTGAAAGTTATAGAAAAATTATCCTGTCTGAAATTCTTCAAATTTCATTGAACATCACAATGCTAAGAAAGAGCAGATACTCAATAAATGGATGACATTGTTAAATGAATGGATGACATTTCATATAATAAAACAACATTAGTTCAAATATTTCATTGTCACTTATATGTTACAAAAGACTAATTAGAATTAAAGATGGTAATGGTATAAAGTTTTCTCTATAAAGCTAATCTCTTTAGAATCTGAACCTATCTATCTCAGCAATATTCTCAAAGATAGCTTTTCTTAACAAGGTTCCTCAAAAACCTTAAGCCCTAAATTAAAGCACCCATTACATGTCTTGCCTTTGTAGCTAATATAATTCTAGTTTTGTAGCATCCTTGGGAAAACTAAGAAAAAAACCACCACTCAAAACATTCTCTGTGTTCTGTGGTTCAGATAAGGAAGGATGGTTGAGAAAGATTATTGGGATCATCATCATTGGGATCAACTGGGAATTTAACAGAAATTTATAGTCTCAGTTTCTACCCCAGTTCTACAAATCAGAAGTTATATTTTAACGTGATCCCCAAAGTAATTTGTAGATATATTAAAATTTGAGAATACTAGCTGGGTATGGTGTTGCATGCTTATTGTCCTAGCCACTCAGGAAGTCAAAGCAGGAGGATCACGTGAATCCAGAAGTTCAGAGCCAGCCCTGGACAACATAGTGAAGACCCTGCCTCAAAATAATGGAAGGAGACTCTCATTGTTATACAAAATTACATATATGATGGTGTGAGGGGGAAGAGAAAAAAAGAGAGAAAAATGTGTCACAGTAGATTGGGTAGAGAGAAGTGATGGGAGGGGAGGGGAGGGGAGTAGGGGATAGGAAGGGCAGCAGAATACGACACTGTATGTATAAACGTGGCTGTATAACCAATGTGATCCTGCAATCTGTACAAGTGGAAAAATAAGAATTCATATCTCATTTGAATCAAATGCATGATATGTCAAGATCATTGTATTGTCTTGAGCAACTAATTAAAAAAAAAAGAAACAACCAAAACGTCCAACAACAGCCTAGATAAATTCATGATACATTGCTCTAGTCAACAACTCCATAATCATTTAAAACACACACACATTATCATAGGATAATAAATGATGTGGAAGATTAAAATAATAATAATAATAATAACAATAACAATAATAATTTGAGAATACCACTTTGTACAACTGAGATAATACCATCTTTTGAGTAATTAGAATTAAAAGGAATTAACAAAGTTCAGGTTTTGATGATGTTCTTCAGTAGATATGGGGAAGGTCCTGCAGCAGTAGCTATTATTTATTCCAGTGAATTCAAAAGTGAAGTTCCATTCATTTGTGTCTACATATATGGAGATGATCTATTTATTTCTATTTTACTAAATTCTCTTTTGTGAAATAAAAGGGATAATTTTGAAAAATATTTTTCCTTGGGTCAAACAGTAATTTCAGAGTGTTTTTTTCCTTTCCTTTTGAATTCTTAAGGCTTTATTTGATTTCCTTGTATATTCTCAATTTTCTGTTTTATGGTTAAATTGAAAGAGGCCCTTCCTACAGATGGTGAATTAGCAAAACCTATATTTTTTTGTTTTGTTTATTTTTTTAAAACCTGTATTTTTTTTAAACACTTTGAGATAGTTTTAATTATTCTAGTTTGACACAATATCTTTATTTTATTTATTTATTTTTATGTGGTGCTGAAGATCGAACCCAGGGCCTCGCATGTACTAGGCAAGTGCTCTACAGATGAACCACAACCCCAGCCCTTAAACCTATATTTTGAAGGAACACTCATTAACCATATCAAAATTGGTGGAGCTGGCTTCTCTTTTTATATTTAAATCACTCTCTACAGGGAAACATATTTCCTTGACTTGTTTTTAATCTATGAATTTCATTAAGTCAATTTGACCTCACACTATGCATCACAATGGCATTTATTTTATGACTATTTTAGAAATCATTGACACCCCTTTTTTGGGCTTTCCTCAGGATTCATTACCTCACATTATTGACTTTTACTATGAGACAATGGTTTGTTTTTAATGTAAATCAGTGACGAATTCATTTCAAAAGCAGAACAGCAAGCATTTTTGCCAAATCCTTAGTCTTTGAAATGTGTTTATACATATTCCCTTGAGAGCTTTCATTTATTTCTTCTTGTTCCAACATGTTTTACTTAATAAAAGATATATATTGACCCTTTCCCTTTCCCATCTCTCTAGGAGCAAGAAAAATCTGCTCAAGAAAAGTCACAGACATCTGTGAAAGGGGAAGACATAGAAGACATACCAGGCAATGCAGAAGTATGTAATTTTTCCATTTATTATCAGATTTCTACAAAGAATGATATTGCTCACTTTAAAATTATGCTCCAAATGTGAGTCAGTCTATTATCTATATTGTTAAAATTATAATTTTGCTTTATAGATAATTAATGTTAGTGATAAATTGGTGTATTATTTTCACCCATGCCTTTTATAAAGGAAAACTCATTCTACCTATTAAAAATATAATCTTATTTTCCAAGATTGTCAGTGACAGAAAATCTTCCCTTGGGGAAATGCTAACAGAACTTAGAGCCCCAATCTCAATCTTTCAGATTCATCTTCCACTCTGGGAATTTTTCACTAATTGTTACTGTCACCAAGTCACAATGGCAGAGGTTCAGAGATTACAAAAGGAAAACTCATAGAGAATTACATACAGGGAAATAAAATGACTTCACACAATGTGACTGACTCATCTTCCATGCATAGACCTCTACAATAATGCCTTCCTCCTGATAGCCTACATCCAAGGTGCAGAGACAAAAGGAAGTTTGCCCTGGATACCAGTCTATAACTCAGTTATATGCTAAAGCCAGCACTCAAGAGACAATTATACACATCTCTACTCAACTTCAAGTTCAGTAATATGGTTTTGTTTTTTTTTTTTTTTTTGGTACTGGAGATTTAACCCAGGGGTACTTTACCACTCAGCTACAGCCCCAGCCCCCTTTTTCAATTTTTATTTTGAGACAGGGTCTCATTAAGTTTCTTAGGGTCTTAATAAATTGCTAAGACTGGCCTCCAACTTGCAATCCTTCTCTCTCAGCCTCCGGAGTTGCTGGAATTGCAGGTATGCTTCACCATGCCCAGCAGTAATATCATTTTAATAGCCACTTGAACATACTAAGGCTATGGAAAAAAACTAGAAATTCGGGCTCTTTTTTTTTGGGGGGGGGGCCTGGGATCAGGGGTTGGAGTGGGGGTGGCAGGCAGTTGTTAAACATTTACCAGCATATCACTGTCTATATTCTTTATAGTTCAGAATCAGGAGGACCAAGCCTCATGAGAAAGAGCCCACTCTATATAATGTCAAAGGCCAAACCTCTGAGTTGTTTTTCATGTCCAAATGTCCTACTTAGTTATCCAGTAATTGACACCTAAAAATGGACGTGCCCCTCAAGAAATATCTTGTTTCTCACACAATGAGGAGCACATTTTCCCTATAATATTTACAAAATTATTCCAGAATTATATTAGTACAATCCAATAAGCCGAATATTGGTAGCAGTGTAGTGGGAATTCAGGGAAGAAGGAAAGGGACTATTCTTTCCTTACATCTTCCACATCTTCCCTTATAGATAAGTTTTCATTGATTTCCAACTCGAGAGTAATTTGTTTGCATATATTGGGCATCTCAGAGGATTTTATACCATTCTTTTTGCATTTAATTGCTATTTGTTTCATTGTTTGACCATGGAGGTAGTCAGGGAAGGATGAACAACCCATAGGTCCATCAATAAGAGAATGGTCAGAGTTATGTAATAAATGATACCATAGAAAAAGAGAACTAAGGTACATTGTTACATGGAAAAACTAGATGCAGAATACCATGATTAGCATGATCTCATTTTTAAAATAAAAAGGTATGTATACATTTTTAAAATAAAAAGGTGTGTATACACACACACACACACATACACACACATCTTCATATAAACATTTTTGCATACGGAGAAATTTTGGAAGGAGACACACACTTAATCCATTAAAATGCTTAACCTATTAGGAAATAATTTGGGAAAATGGAGAGAACTTTTCACTGAAAGTGATATTTAGATTTTTTAAATATGCATATATAATTTTTATAATTTAAAAATGTAGGGCTAGGACTGTAGCTCAGTGATACAGCACCCGCCTCACACATGTGAGGCACTGGGTTCAATACTCAGCACCACATAAATAATGAATAAAGATATTGTGTCCAACTACAACTAAAAAAAATATTTTAAAAAATAAAAGTGTATTAAGGGCTGTTCAACTTACACTTAGGATCCATGCATTTTGCTGTCTGTAAATTATACCTAATTTTTTTAATATGTCAAAGTGCAACCAACAATGATAGACCTAACATTACTGGAGTAAATTAATTTATCTTTGGTACTCCACCCTTAAGTATCTGATTTTAGCCGGGCACAGTGACACATGCCTGTAATCCTAGTGGCTCAGGAGGCTGAGGCAGGAGGATCGAAAGTTCAAAGCCAACCTCAGCAACAGGTGAGGCACTAGGCAACTCAGTGAGACCCTGTCTCTAAGTAAAATATAAAAAAGGGCTGGGTACATGGCTCAGTAGTTGAGTGCCCCTGAGTTCAATCCCCAGTACCAAAAAAAAAAAAAAAAAAGTATCTGATTTTAATTATCTAATTATTTAGAAATTTTAAAGTTAACATTTTAATCATCTTATGTAATCATGATTATTTTTAAAAGTGCTTTTACCAATCTTCTTAACATTTTTACCATGTTTCAAGGATTCCTACTTATTCCCCACCCCCCAAAAAATGTTATTGCTCAGGAAAACTGTTAAATAGGAGCTATTTTGGAAAAAAAAAGAAAAAGGAAAGTTGGCAATGATCTTTTATTGCAGAAGCATATTAAAGAGCGACAAAACAAAATACCTGCTATTTTGGCATTTGCTGTTTAGTACATCTACAACGTGACAATATATAAAAATTCTCTCAGGAAGCAGCAGATCTCTGAAAGTCTACCCTTAAATTGATTAAATTTATGCCCTTATTTCTATGGCATCAAAAACACATGGGATGTTTTAAAAATCTCTTTTTCTTTCAATGAAGGAGTTGGAGGAAGAAGAAAAAGAAAAAGAGGAATCTGCTGCTGTCAAAATCCAGGCAGCCTTCCGGGGACATGTAGCCAGAGAAGAGGTAAAGAAAATGAAATCAGATAAAGTTAAAGATGAGACAGAAGAAGAAAAGGAGTAAGGACACTGGTTTCCCCCCAGAACACTTGAAAAAATAATCCAAATCCATCAACCTTGTTGGGATTATCGGGGTTTTTTTCCCTTAGTAAGGGAAATTTGATGTTGTAAAATAACATTTGTTGCTGTTGTGAAAAATCTGTCATGAGCATTTGTTTAATAAACACGCCATTGAAACATACCACTTGAAGACTTCTCCAAGATCATGGGAACTGTTTATATTTGCCCTAAGTCTACACATAGACCCCTTTGGATTCAGCTATAGAACTGGAATATCTGAGTTTTCAGAGATGTCAGAAGTTGTGTGGTCTAACCATTACCTACTGAATAAATCATGTCTATCACATCGCTGAAAAAAAAAAAAGGTTCTTTATCCCCTGCTTCACTTCTAGCAATGAAGAATACTACTGCCCTTCAAATCCTCTTCAGAGTGTGTGTGTGTGTGTGTGTGTGTGTGTGTGTGTGTGAGAGAGAGAGAGAGAGAGAGAGAGAGAGAGAGAGAGAGAGAGAGAGAGCACGAGCGCAAATGAGAATCAAACCCAGGACCTTGATTTTGCCAGACAGGCGCTCTACTTACTATTGGGGCACATCCCAAGCCTCTAATTTTTGAATAGCTTGAATTATTAGAAAAGTTAAAAAATCTGCCTACTTGTGTTACATTGGTTTTCATTTGTCATACATGCTTTCAATCATTTATCAAAATGTATTGAGCCCTATTTATGCGTTGAGACTTCACAGTGAAATGTTCTTTCCTTCATGCATCTTACAACTTATTATGGTTTGCTCTCTAAAACCAAACAGAATAAGACTAATAGTATCACATTTGAAAAGACAAAAGCAATCATTATGTCATACTCCCTTCTTCAAGTAAAACTTCCCAAGTATCTTTAATGTATAAATGATGATACTTGTTTCACAGTCTAAGAAGCCTTTTTATCTGTTATTTTTTCAGTGAACCATTCAAGTCCCAAGTACCTTATTTTTAGAAAGTTCAGTTTCTCCTTTTTGAGGGCTCCCTTTTCTTGATTATCCAAAAAACTTGGGATTCATGAATGAGATGAAAGAGTTCAGTTTCTTTCTGCCACTGGAGAACTGCTTGCGAGCTAACCTCCTAATATCCACTGTACCCTTCCTCCCATTCCTACCCCCCTCTCCTCCAGGCTTAGAGATGGGGGAAAAATTAGTTCCCCAGGGTTTCAGCTATTCATTCCACTATGCACTCAAAAACATCAACCTGCAACACCTTTCCTTCTTGAACAAAGTCATCCTGCTCAAAGAATTATCAAGGGAACCCAGAATTAATGCAAAGACTTAGCTTCCCTGTTCTAGATCAAAAGAGACAAGATTTTCTTTAGTGAATATATAACAGATGAGGAAAAGATACCATTTAGTTTTTTTAATAATTCTCTATTATATATGAAAAAAATTAATACTGAGTTTTCTATCTAGTCAGTTCACACACATACACAGACACACATTTTGTGGGAGTGATATTTATGAAGGAGGAAAAGAAAAAGAAGATGAGGAGCAATGGATGTAGTCTTAATAACAACACATATCAATAACATTTTGTTAGCACTTATCTAACTGCTGTTCCTTCTCAATCCTTTGCGTAACTCTTCAGTTCCCCATCTACTAACCACTACATTTACCCATTGATCTCATCCAATCTCATGACTTTATAAGCCATCTCCATACTCATCACTCCCAGACCTTTCTCCCTCCTCCTCCAAATTTGAATGTTCAACTGCCTACTTAAAATCCCTATTTGGATATTTATTCCCCCTCAAAAGAAAAATGTCCAAAACACCTCCTGATATTGCCTCCCAAATCCCAATTCTCTGGAGTGTTTCCCATCTCATAAAATAGCCACTCCATTTTTCCATTGTCCAAACCAAAAACCTTGGATTCATCCTTAACTCCTGTTTCTCCCCATCCCACATATAATGTTAGCAAAGCCTATGGGGTCTACCTATACACCAGAAACCAAACACCTCTCATCACTTCTGTTGCTACCACCTTGGTCCTAGTTCCCAACATCACTCTCATGAACGTTTACATTGGCCATCATTGCCACATTACTGTTGCATAATCCATCCCAAAGTTGTCTTTTCCCATGGATAATTGTGAAAGCAACAATTTAGCTGAGCTAAGCTGGATCCAAGACTCAAGATTAGGTTCAGATCTGCCTCTAAGCTGAGAGTTTGTCGGTTGACTAGGGGAGTTATGCTTCAGGCTATGGGCCCAAGGGTCAACTAATAGTCAACTAATAGTGTCTGTGCTTCATGTGTCCTATTTAAAGCCCATGCTGAAGCCCAGGACAAACTCTTTTCATGGTGCTCACAGAAGTAAAAACAGGAAAACCCAACATGCAAGAATATTTCAAGCTTTTGCTCTTATCACTTACTCTTTCATCCCATTGACCAAAGAAAGTTGTCTGACTAAGCCCAAAGTCAAGAAGGTGAGGAAATTGACTGCTCCTCAAGCAACCATAGGAAAGACCTCTTGTATGCATAATACTACTACAGGGTAGTGAAGAATTGGAACCAATAATCTACCATATTGTGATCTCCTGGTTATAATTATTCATATCCTTCCCACATGTAAAATATACTCATATCTCAAAACCCCTAAAAGTTGCATCAAATATTTGAAGTATATGATCTCATGATTTACCTCAGGTCCAAATATAGCTCCTATATTATAAAACCTATGAATTAAAAGAACAAATATCTTCTTCTCATATACCCAACATACAACAAATAATGGAATACAGATAATATAACCATTAAGAAGTTACCTGATTCAAAAAATAATGGAAGCAAATAGCAGTTACTGATCTGAAATAATAATGAAATCCCACCAAGTGAAGGGTGTCAGGTTCCTTTATATGCTGGGGTGAGGAATAATGTTCCATAATATGTCCTGGGTTTGATCCTTCAGTTTCTAGCAATGAAAAAAAATGAGGAAAAAAAGAGTTTTGAGTCTATCGTCCATAAAACTTTTGGTTCTATACTCTAGGAGTATAGAACCAAAAGTTTTTTTTTTTCCATCATCTTACTTAGTCCTTTGCAATGGACATTAGAGATATGCCCTTTTTGGTGGATAAATGGGTTTCTCAGACTATTTCCTATCTGTGGAAAACTGAGAATCCAAGTGTCTATTTATATCTTCCACAGCCTAAGTCCCTCTTGGTTGATGGTAGTGCTTCTCCTAATAAAGTTCTTTTTAAAACTGTATGGATTTTCTATGTGTTTGTCTTTAGTCAACTCCATGTGACAAGAGATGGAGCTGTACCTACAATTTCTTTCAAGATCTCTACCCACCCCCCAATTAAGAGCAGTGAAAAATTTAAATCACTATTTCAATAACAGTCATAACTAGTATCCCTGCTTCTACCCTGTCTTAGTCAGGGTTCTTTAAAGGAACAAAGCCAATGGGCTACATAGAGATATAAAACAAGGGAATTGGTTTATGCAATTACAGGGACTGAGAAGTCCACAGTATGTCATCAGTGAGTAAGAAAACCAAGAACTAGTGGCATAATTTGATTCAAGTCTGAACGTCTAGGAATGAGGAGAGTCAAAACTATAGCTCAGGCCAAGGCTAGATGAGATTCTTTGATGTAAGTCCTAGCGTCTCAGAAGTCTAAGTTCTCACATCTGAGGTCAGGAGAAGATGACTTGTCCAAGTTCCAAAAGAGAGAACTCACCCTTACTCTGCCTTTTTGTTCTATTGAGACCCTCAGTTCTGCCCATCCACACTGGTAAAGGCAGATCTTTACTCAGCATACTGATTCAAATGCTAATCTCTTGCAGAAATACCCATAAATATGTTTTTGTGGCTCTCTGGGCATTCCTTAACCCAGTCAGATTATCACATAAAATTAACCAGCACACACACTTTCCCCCTTTCAATATAGCAGTCAAAGGATCCCATTATAATCATCCCTATCATCCCCCAATATCTTCTCATTTCTCTAAGAGTAAGAGCTAAAGTCTTCAGAATGGTCTACACAGCTCTCTGCAGATCTTTATCCTATTATCTCTGACCTCATCTTGCTTGTTCAAGGGCTCCAAGCACACTAATCTTGAAGTTCTTCCTTATTCATTCCCACCAAGCTTTCATGTGAGATTCTGTATGTGTCATTCCCTGCATCCCTGCCTGGAAGGGTTCTTACCAGACATTGTCTCATTCTTCTGCTCTTAACCCAATGAATAAAAGTCAGTGAGATCTTGCCTGGGACAAAAAGCGCTCCTCTTTCCCCTTCCCTTCTTAATTTTTCTTCTTAATTCTGAACACCATGTAATGTATCTTATTTACTGCCTACTTCCCCTAGTAGAATTCATGCCCCATCTATAGAAGTGGGAAGAGCCAAAGCATCTCCTTTCATCTAATTGGCTTCTATTGGGTTATACATGTATCTCTGAATCAATCGCTGAGCTTCTGAGAAAGGAATATGCAAGTTGTCCTATGCCTGTCACCACCAGAACATGCCCCTGCCAATAGGAGGTCAGTTCTGCCCCCAAAACCTGGCTGAAGTGTGTAGCAAGTTTAAAAGCTTCTAAAGAAAATAGAGTTGTGTTTTTAGGAAGAAGGGATAGCAGATGCTGGGCAGGCATAAAACAAACACACCCCACAATAACCACCACATGGCTTCCTGTTATACCACCTGGTTTATTAAATGGTCATTGAAACCAAAGATTAGTGACAGGAATGAAAGGAAAGGGGCTGGGATTGTGGCTCAGTGGCAGTGTACTTGTCTGGCATGTGTGAGGCACTGGGTTTGATCCTTAGCAGCACGTAAAAATAAATAAATAACATAAAGGTATTGTGTCCATCTACAATTATAAAATATTTTTTAAGAAAGAATGAAAGGAAAATGTAAAACATTATACGAGGGGTTAACAAGCCATGGCAATATGAAAATTTGGGTAGCCTTTCATATAAATTGCATTGCTAAAGGGTGTTTTTTGGAGTTGGGCAATGCAAACAAGAAAATCCCAAAAGAAGAGCTTTGCCAATTAGGAGAAAATGAAAAATCATGTGATTTAAACTGTTTTAGAAATACATGTAAAATTTGTTCTGTGGGAAGCTAAGTGTGAGAGTTTGTCAACATGAATTTTTTTGTAAAACATTATGAACACTGTACCTATAAAAATGGAGTCTTCTGTCATGATT